GGGTTCGACTCCCGGTATGGGAACACTACTTTTTCTTCCTTGGGGGTCAATTAAATGTAAATCTACTGCATCTTCAAAACTGCCTTGTAATTATAAAAGCTGTGATCAGGCAGTTGATTGTTTTTCATTTTGGCACTGACATTGAAAATCCAATCTAAATAAGGCTACCATTGATTTGTTTTTAGCCAGTTATGATCTTATATTCCATACTAACCTTGTTCTCCTGTCCCGCTGGCCGTTGTCTCACTGTTCCTGTAACCTTGATGACGGACTCGACTGTGAGATCAAACAGCACTGATTTCAAATGACCGGCAGACTTAAAACACAGAGAGAAAAAGAATAGGTTAAACTCAAATAAAAAAACTTCTGAGTATTTACTTTATTAAATGCTTCTTCAGTGTGCAATAGTTGTACATCATTGTTAGCAGTGTCTCTATTAGAGGTGGTATCTTCAGTATAAAGGAGGCATGGTGGTTCAGTGGTTAATACTGTTGCCTCACAACAACAAGGTTCTGGGTTCAAATCCCTGTTCCCCTACCATCAGAAACATATACAGTAGGCTAACAGTAACTACTTCTAGTACTTGGGGATGTTTTAAGGTTATTTGTTGTACTTATAATATTATATTTTGGTGTTTGAATCATTTTCATTCTTACTTCTTCCTGAGGGATTAGAACTTGTATCAAGCCGCTGAAATCTCGCAGGATGACAAACATGTCTTGCCTGTTGGAGGCAGAAACATTGTTAAAATACAAAAATCGGAATTAATCACCGCACACTGGAATTACTTTACTGTGAATTATTTAAGAGCAAACAATGACTTTCACTTGCAGCTTCCTCAGGTTCACTCGGTTAACTGTTAAAATCCAGTTTTATCCAGTATGAGGCCACATGGGAGACAAACAAGAACTGTCAGCTCCTAACATAAATGTATATATATTACAGTTCTGCTGCTCCACATACATAGGATTGTGTCATTAGGTGCGTAGAGAGAAATCAAAGAGCTCACAGGAAGTCTAGAATTAAAATGTGACAGTGTCAGACATTGAGGGACCTAAACAGCAGCGAGTGAGCGCTCCTCCAAGAAAACATGGACCGAC